TAACACTCAGAAGTCCTACCTTCCATGCTTTCCTAGGTGCCCCTTCCATCAGCTCTTCTCTCTGAAGAGTTGCCTCTGCCCTGCTATGATTAGTAAGCACAATGGTTCCTAAACTTCAGCTTACAGCAGTATCACCTGCAGATTTTAAAAACATAAATTGATGAGACCAAACCCAGGAATTGCTGACTCTATAATCTGAGATAAAATCAGAGAATTTGCATTTCCAAACAAGTTTCCAGGTAACCCTATTGCTGCTGGAGACATGTCTTAGGTAGATGTGTCTTAAGAAACTACTTACTAGTATTAACTAAAGAAGTAATATAGTGATTTACTTTGTTGAATAAATTAGAGTGAAATCAAAGTTGCTCCTAAAATGTATATATACATTTTCATTCAGGTATACTTTGAATGTTAGTAAAGAAATGGATGTTATTACAGCCAGTGCACCCACAATTCTCTGGGCACATCCTACATGGCTGAGCACTTTTCCTTACAACCCATGCTGACTTGCTAACCACTGGCATTTGTAGGCACGTGGGTGTGAGATGCTAGGTTCAATTGTCTCCCAGCAAAAATTCAAGGGACTAAGGTTTTCCTATGAAGTAAAGTCAAGTGTTAGACCCTGGGGTAAACCTTGAAGATGATCAGAAACATATGTCTGGGTTCCATGCCCAAACTTTATCTTGAACAAGTGATAATGTTTGTGCTGCAACAAGCTCCTAAAATTATGTTTATTTTATTTTATTTTTTGCAATTTAGTGAAATGATTCTTACAGTTTACATTGTCATTAGAACGTATAAACTGAGAGTAGTGTCCATATGTATGAGTGAATTAGTACTCCGTAGGTAAGTCCCCAAGTTTCAGCATTATATCTAAAGCAAAATTTGAACAGCTGCACTTGCAAGATACTGCAGTCTGATCAGCCATCTGTTTCCCTAGATTTATTGGTCTGCTGCTTGATAAGATTTTATATTTTCCATTGCTGATTTTCTATTTAAATGGACACCTACTATCATTTTAGTTTGTACTTCCACAGAATATTGATTTTCTTTCTTCATGTTGTCCCTAATTTCAGGTTTTCATTGTGATCTTAAAAGTCTATAAAACAAGCACATAGTCACAGTTGGTGAATTCAATTTAGTAGATTAAACATGCCTCCTTTAGTTTAACTCCTTAGAGTGTTGCCCTGAGCTGATTTTAAGCCATAAAGAAAATTAAGATGAATATATTATACAAAAAGAAAATAAGAGCTTTTGTGTCCTTGTTTTTTCTATTAAAAGAAATGGCATATATCTACTGTTATTATTGTTTCCTCTCTTCTAAGAAAATCACATCCATATTTGACTTATAGTCACTCAAGCTGTCTAAGTAAAAGCAGTAGGATGCAGTCATCAATATTTTTAAGTACTTGAAATAAAATGTAAGAAAGTTTGTTTTCCTTGTTTTGCATAATTATGGAAGCAGAGGACATCTATGGGCTCAGAAATAGTTATTAGATGGAGAAGGACAGTGTGAAATTAGGTGAAAAGAACAGAAAGAGGGGAAAGATTAGGCAGTATTTTTAGCAAATAATGCATCAATAAATAACTTAACAAATTAAGGTAAGTGTATAGAGATTTTGTGATACAACAGAAGCAGAAGGTTTGTGTTTTAAGAAGTGGTCTTTGATATAACCAGTAAACTTCTTTATCATAGAAAATTATTGAAAATATTTATTAGAATATTCTGACCCCACTTAGAAATGGGTATTTAGGAACAATGGAGAAAGTTGAGAAAATGACAAAGAATTTTGGCATAGTGTATGTGTGCAAGGTTGGTAACTAGAAACCAAAAGAGATGGTTCAAAGCATAAGGTGTCAATTATTCAGGAAAAAAAAGAGCACTGTGGGTCATTAGTTAATAAGTATTCAACCCTGGAGGAGGTTGCCACAAAAATAGTTGGCATATCTTCAGAATACTTACTAAAGTTAGAGATACAGAACCTTGTACATATTGCATATTATATTAAAATGGGATGAATCCACATGGAATATCTTCCAAATATGCTCATAAATATAATAAATTTTTATCTAAACAGTTTAGTTGCGTTCCTTTTTTATTTTTTTTCTCTTTTTGGTGATAATATAAACTTAGTCATTGCTTAATGGAAGTTGAAAAAGACATGGAAAGTTTGCCAGATGAGCATTAACCCCTACAGTATGTATATAAAACTATGTACTTACCTGCATACATTTGACAGTATTTTTGTTGTTGTTTTTCCTAGACTATCAATAAAGTACTGCTTCAGTATGCTGCAATTGTATCAAGTGATTTTAGTTCCTACTGTGATAAGGAAAATGTGGTAAGTAAAACTGTCTCCACTTTCAAGTATTCTTCCCTTCCCTTAAGATCCTCTTCTTCCAGCTAGTAAAGAAGCAAGAGGCACTGTGTTCTTTCTGTTTCCATACAGAATGACAGTTGAGAGGTATTTCGAGACGTTGTTTGAATACTTCCCTAGTAGCCATGAGCTGGATACAACACAGAACTTAGAGGAAGGTTGAGAGCATCTCAATACCAGGCAGCCTGCGGTTCCAAGATGATAACGAACAAGACCATTCATTGAAAGCCCACATTATTGCCAAGCATTGGAACTGAGAACTAGGGAGTTAGAAAGTTGTTTAGTGTTGACACCAAGTAGTTTAGTTTAGTTTTGTACCAGTACTAAAATGAGTAAACGTTCCATGTCTTTTTCAACTAAAATTTATTCTTTCGGTTTTCAAATAAATTGAGAAGGATTGTTAATTTAAGGAATGATGCTGGTTTCCACTCTAAATTATTAATTTAGCTTTTCATTTGGGGGGTGATTGAGAATGTTTATAAAAACTGAGCCAATATTGAGAGTTAATAAAAGGCATAGAGAGAAGCAAGATAAACTATAGTGATTTAGAATATAATGTGTTTTTATGGTGGAAGATGAAATCTTTCTTATTCACTATATGTACGTAGTCTTAGAAGAAATATGTTGGTAACAATATAGAACTTTTTAGAAAGCACCAAAAATAGTATTTAAAAAGCAGTGCAATTCTTTTAAAGAGGAAAACCATCCCCAACCCCTCAAAAAAAAAAAATCAGTATTACCAGACAAGTCTAAATTCACTAGTCTTCTCCCTGAAAACTCATTGACCTCTTGCTGACACCTCATTAAGGTAGGTCAGTTCTAATTGTTTTTGAAGGTCCCAGACGTTCTTCTTTCTATTTAATTAATATGCTGCCTAGGAATTTTATTAAAACTCTGATATCTCAGCAGATATCTTTAATTGCCATCGGTTATAAATACTCTAAGGGGCAAGAAAGAGCATTTATTTATTGAAAACACATATTTTTAATTAAAGGCTTATACATTTGAAAAGTAACATACTGAAAATCAAAACAGCACCAGAAAATTTCAGAAAAGATTCTGATTTTATTAGGATAGCCAAATTGAAGATTTTGTAAGATATCTCTGAATTACCAGGGCTAATTCCTGTCATTCAGAAAGAATATTACTTTTTAAAGGCCCCTGCAGACTACCACTTTAATGTTTCAGCATGTATTTTCAAAACAGAAAAAATCATAAATCAGTGTTTACTGTATTATTTTGCTTTTTTCTGTATATTTTATAATTCTCAAAATCAAATTTTTATAAAGAAGGAAAAACAACCTTGCAAATATGACATGCTAGGAAATTAACTTTTTCTTTTCTTCAATGCTTTCCCCCCACCACCCCCCGTAGTTACTGATATCTTGCTTCTCATTAAGAGCCATGGTCTTTCTTTGATCTTAGTTTTCACCCTGGTGGGATTGCCCAAATCCCAGCCAATCTTCCCCCTCTGCAATGAAAATTAAAATCTCAATAGCCTTATTCCCCGTTGTGGGGAAGAAGTGGATTAGCTCGGTTTGCTGACTTTGGGTCAGATGCTGAGTTCCTGAAAATGTGACCATGCCTCGGAAAGGACTAGGCCTGATCAAGTGGCTCTCAATCATGGCAGGAGATCAGGCTCCTTTGTGGTATATGTGGCTCAGCTTACTGAACAGCATCTACAGGAGATAAATAGATGTCTGTGTTTAAACAATAAAATATTTATGTGACTGTAATCAAGGGAACAGAAAAGAAGTTTGAAATCGCTTTCATAAATTCAAAGTTAGGATGTGGTCACTTGAAGAGTAAAGCGGAAAGTTTTCAAAGGTCCGTGATGCGGTTAAAACAAAAATAAAATCTTTCCACCGATGAGAGCTGATGGCTTCCTGATGTCCTATGAGTCCTTTGCACGCCTCTCTCTGATTCACTATTGGCTTATTTCCCAGCAACTTGGAAGATACCTCCATTCTCCTTTCTTTCCTGTTTTTCTTTCCCTTGATGTAGTGGCTCTTCAGGATCAGTATGCAGCAAATAGTAAATTACTCTAGAATTTGCCCTAACCGGTTTGGCTCAGTGGATAGAGCATTGGCCTGTGGACTGAAAGGTCCCAGGTTCTATTCTGGTCAAGGGCATGTACCTGGGTTGCGGGCACATACCCAGTAGGGAGTGTGCAGGAGGCAGCTGATCGATGTTTCTCTCTCATCGATGTTTCTAACTCTCTATCTCTCTCCTTTTCTCTCTGTAAAAAATCAATAAAATATATAAAAAAAATTACTCTAGAACTGTTCCTGAATTCTCTTTACTAATTATAAATTAATTCTTACTATTCAAAGGTTACATCTAGTCCTGTCATAAAGCTTTGAATTTTTATTGTTATATTTCTGCCTTCTTGGAAAAACAAAAACAAGAAAAGAAACACGTTGTAAACAAGTTTATACTTAAGGCTCTGTGCAATACTCTGGGAGGGAAAAAAGCTAAAAGGCACAGCAACACATACAGTGAATTTAAGACCAGCTCATGAGAGAGGGAAAAGCAACTCAAATGTATAGTAAAGTAAAACAAATATCAAGTGGCCGAAGGATACAATGTAGGAAAGAGAAGGCTTAAACCTGAATGATGGGTTTGATTCAAGCAGGCAGAGACTAAGGAAGAGGCCGCATACTCAGCAAAGTCACAGCAAATGGAAAGTGCAGGTATTTTGGAGGGAATAAGTTGCAGAGAGTTGGAAATAATCATAACGCAGTAGACGGAGATGAGAAGGAATCACTCTTCGGAGCCAGATAATGTAGGGCCGTGAATACCAACGTGGAGTTTGTAGCCTAAGAGAATCCACTTAAGGCTTTCTTGTTTTCCTTGTTGTTGTTGTTTTGGTTTTTAAATTTCAGATAGTGTTTTGGTTTTTAAAAGAGAGAAATAATGAAATTTTAAACTAATCTGTTTTCCTTGAAATAAATCTTTAAAAAACAGAATTTGGTTAATTTCTAAGTATAAAATACCAAGATGTTAAGAATTAAAAAGAAACTTTAGTAGTGATTCTTCAATGCTTTATTGTCTGAATATATTGTTAAATTTCATTCTTTAAAGTTGTTATATATTCTCCTTCCATTTAACTGTTAAAAAGCATAATCATAAAGTACAGAATTATTACATTTGCCAAATACAATAGATCTTCAGTGATAGGTTGTATACTCTTACATTTAAGGTAAACTCATCCCATAATTTAGTGTATAAAGGATTCTCACACTATTTGTTTTGTGTTTTCTTTACATAAAGCCCTGTATACTGATGAACAATATTCAGCAATTACGGGTTCAGTTGGAAAAAATGTTTGAATCCATGGGAGGAAAAGAGGTGGGTATGTTTTTATGCTTACATTTGCCAAATACCTACTTAGAGATCATTAGCAGCATATCTGTTATTTAAAGGTTCATAATCAAGTTTTACATGGTTTCGCTAAAGAATGGGAAAGGATAATAATATAAAACCCAATTAATAGCTGAGGTTATTATTATATCCACAACAGAATACTTTAGTAAATATATTAGCAGTGTGAATGGGATGAGGAAGATGGTAAATAGCTTTTTACAGTATATATATATATATACTGTAGTCATATATATATACAATTAAGTAGATATGCTAATGATCTTTAAAGTTTACAAAGTGCAGATTTTTTTTTTTTGCCGTATTGTGCAATCCCAACTTGATATCAGTGTTCATTCTGAAATGTGTTTTGTGGTGCTGGTGGTTTTGAGGTATTGGTGGTTTATTCATGTCTAAAAATATCTGTGAAAAACGTCTTGTGTGCTGTGTCTGTAATGTGTCGTGTCTTTGTCCAACATCTTTGCCTTGCAATCCCATGAGCAGAAGAAGGAAGGAGAAAGATTCTCTTATGAGGTTTGTGATAGTAAGCATCGTACCCTTTACCTGGCTGATGCCCCCACTCAACCTAAAGCCCAGCGCGCTTCCTCCTTATTCTCATTCGCTTGTCTGGACCAGGCAGACAGGGAGGCGCTCGCTCTGTACCTGCCTCTTCCAGCTGCCGCAGTTCCCTTCACAAACCAACAGGAGGGCCTGGGGAATGAGGACAGAGACAGTGCCAAGAGAGCAGGCAGGCGGCTGGCATTCTCCCCCCACCTCCCTCCAGGAAGATATCCCAAGGGTAGCTAGAGCGGGGAATATTTCTGGTCAAGATTTTATTTACATTTTTCCTCATGTATATCTCATACACTTGCCAGAGTAAGTGTATGAGGTATACATAAAAGTGGGTTGATTTCAAAGCAAAAGATCTCTTTAATGTCTAAATTTATAGGCCCCAAATGCTGCTTTAAGGATTGGGCCTCTTCCCATGTGAGGTTGACTCCAAGGAGACCTTTCTACATCCTCCCCCACGGCCCTGAATGTCCTTTTTGTCCTCCGCGAGCCTGTCTTTTGAATAATGAACTTGCTATTTAGCATCCTACAGGCAGAAGCTCTGGGATACATCTGTGAAGGTGAAACAGTTCAAAGATGAACTTGATGCACTGTGCTTCCTGCCCCTGCAGACTGGGTCTAATTTGTATAAAATAAAAACCTCTTCCCCAAAGCATGTCAGTTATTGGTTTCGCACAGTTTGAGAGAATCAATCTCATTGTTAGAATTCTTTCACTGAACTAGGAGAGCACAAGCAAATACAAAGTGAAGATTCCCTTTGTGTTTTTAGCTATGTATTATATTCAGACTTTAAGTTCACTTGCTGTTTTGAAAAGCAGTGAAGAAATTACTGATTTCTTGTGGGAAATTCTACCTCCTTTTAGCGGCTGTGGAAGACCACAAATCATTTATGGATGAAGTTATACAAAACGTCCTACTTCCAGAAATCTCTCCTAATCCTACTACTTATTTTATTACTCTTTGTGGCTGAACTCTAATGTGAGCGATATATTGCTAAGCTGCATATTAACCAGATGAATCATATCTATTCTTAAATAAACTGTGTGGGCCAAACCACTTGCTAACCAGAAAAGTTGTGGGGCGGCTTGTTCACTAATCAAAAATGGATCCCTTATTTCAGATAAAATCTCCAGCTTGAACTGTGCAGGTTTCACATTATAAATTTAGTTGCAAATTTATGGCTGCGTCACAGGACTCTTCTTTATTAGAGAAGCTAATGAAACTGGAAATACTGAGCTTGGGGCCTTCTCCCTTCATAACATTCGCAATGCCCATTGCTAAATTCCTTATACATAATTTAAAGGGAAAAGTCAATTAAGTAAATGAGTGTCTAGCTTCTAACAATATAATCTGTTAGAGGCACAGCATGGACCTTAGCTCCTTTCTTTCCAACATTTAAAAATTGTTTTCTTCGTCCTCTCCTTTTCTTTGCCCCCTTCTATTCTCCCGTCTCCCTTTCTGCACAAGTTTCTTTTCTCTCATTCTTTTCCATTTTTATATCTTGTAATTTGCTGCTAAGAAAAAGCTTTAGGCAGACTCAATCAGTATTGCACATGGGTTGATAAAATGTGAGAGGAAGCAAGTCCTGAATCCAAGTCTAAGTGTAACATGCAGCCTCCCAGACAGAAATAAGCTTTATTATTAATACGGAATTATGTTAAGATTGCTCATTGCTACACTTAGCCTCCTCTGGGCACCAGCATCTCAAAATAACCATCAGAGACCTTCCAATGCAGTTATCTATAAACAACAGTGTCTTTACTTGGGGCCTTTACAAAGATGAGAAGGATTTTATTAAGAATGACAGAATTCACCCTTTCATATGAAAAATATATGTAGCACTAAAAGCAGGCTTATTCAAGCCTTGAAAGGCCCACGGGTGCCAATTTTCAGTTTTTCCTCACAGTGGAACTGCTTATAAAATCTTGACTGGCATTGCCAAGGGAAACTCTCCAACCTAGATCTTATCCTTCTTTACGGAGTTTCTTCTTATTTTCATCCTCTACCGTCTGTGCTAGGATGTGCACTTCTTGCCACAAAAATCTAATTAGCAAATGATTGCTTGTGCACTTGCTCAAAATAGCTTTGATGCCATGTGTTAATTAGTTGGCTTCTAACACAGTGTCGCTTGCCTCTCCTACTGTCTGCGTAGTGCTGGCCGCTTGCAGGCCTGGCTGCGTGATGCTGCAGCTCTCAGCCGCTTTAACCCAACCAAGGTTGGGCAGCTGTTCTTTCTTTGCAGGGTGTCTTTTCCTCCTGCAAACCGGAAGAATGCCTGAAACCTCTTTGGGGCGAAAAGGGTTACTCTCTGTATGGAGTGCAAGATGAAAACGTTGCCTAACAGGAGGACAATTTGGGGCGGCTGCTGTGGACAGCGGCTCCCAAAGCGGTCGCATGAGCAGTCACTGTTAACATCTGCCGCGCAGTATCCTGTGCCCCATGTTGGCACATTCTTTTCCAATTTAGAAAAAAATATCTAAAGGAAAAAGCAAACCATGAAATTCCTTCTCCTATAAAGTGAATTTCCAACATGCTTCCCTGCATACAACTTAAGAGCATGTTTTGGCATAACAACTTTCTGATTACTATGGAAAAGTTGTGGGTGTTTTTTTAATGTCACACAGACTCTGGAGCAAAAGTAACCTTTAGGAATGATTCCCAGAGTCTTTTCCTTAAAAAGCACCTCAGGTGATTTTTTTAATGTGCATATAGTTTTGGGAATCCTTATACTGAAACAAATAAAATGGCCAACCCATCATATGGGGTGACTTAAGATAGAATTTTCATTTTTTTATATCACGATCTCCAAACTATATTACCTGTCCCTTTATCACACAATAACAATAAAGTGATTATCAGGATGCCAGGTAATATTTTTCATTCATTGTGAATGATCGTGTTATTATCCTACAAAAGGACTAATAGCTCAAAAGAAAAACAGATATATTTTGGTTATATTATTTTAATAGCTTTATTATTTCATGAGTATAACTTCAGTACATATCAATTGCAAATAAATACCTAGTCTGTATTCATTTTTTCATAAATGCATAATAGTATGGACAGGACTTAGTTGTACTTTCTTCATCTGCAATATAATTTGTACAAGTACATGAAAAATAAAATCATAAAATCTAAAATTTGATTTCAGGAAGTCATAATAGTCAATATGAAACTTTACAGAACTTATTGATTTAGAAGAATTATAACTGTATTGTGTAAGCAGAAGGCACTTCACTCCTTCACAAACCTGTGCTGGTGCAATCTTCTTGAATGGTAGAATCCATAATTATCACCAGGCCTATTAACCTATTGACAGCACTTCAGATTCTAGAAGTTAACCATTATTAAGACATTTAGAGGAAATAGTGGTTTGTTTACTTACCTAAATTCTCTCATTCTGCTAAACACGGAGGAAACCAATTAGGTACAACAATGTTATTTTTATTAATGTGTTTCAAAAAAATTTGAATTTTTTTACTCATCTCATTGTGGTAATCTTTCCTGAACAGGGCCAAGGAATCTGAAACATAACTCCATCTACCTTAAAGCGTATATATTTTATTGAGCAAATTAATACTTGTTTTGTTTCAGAGATGAATATCTATATTAATTTTCATTTTTATTTCTTTTTTAAATATGTTTCTATTGACTTGAGAGAGAGAGGGAGCGAGAGAGAGAAACATCAATCAGCTGCCTCTTTCATGCCCCCTACTGGGGATCAAGCCTGCAGCTCATGTGCACTGACCGGGAATCGAACCAGTGACCTTTGGTGCATGGGAAACATTCAATCCACTGAGCAACACAGGCCTGGGCTTACTTTTCATTTTCAGTGATGACTTTGATGTATCAATTAGAAATCGCATCTGAGTGCCAAAGCATATACATGTAGCTGATTAAAATCCCTTGTAAAATATTTTAGCCATATAGACTCAGTCTTCAGCTATGTAGACCAGAGAGGACAGAAATTATCTTCTGTCATATTTTACTTAGCACTGTCCTCTCAACTTTATACTTGCTGGGCAATAGGGGATTGAAGATCACTGCTTTATAGGAAACACTATTCCATGCCAGTAGTTCTTTGCACTTCAGCATATATCAGGACTACCTGAAGAGCTTAAGGAAACATTGCAGAATTCCCTCCTCCGAGTGTTTGATTCAGTTGGTCTGGAGTGGGGCCTGATGATTTGCACTCATAAAAAATTTCCATGATGTTGATGGTACTGGTCAGAAGACCACATTTTGAAAATTACTGCTCTTTGCTTTTAGAGTAGCAATCAGATATTACAGAAATGGCTCCGAATACCTTTGTCATATCCTAACTGACCTTCTTAATGTATTTTGAATCTTGAGAACATGGGATTTAATTGTTTGAGTGCAACTTAAGACAGTGTGCAATAGTGCAGGAAAATATTTGGATTAAAGAATATAATATTCTCAAAATATAGGTAGCCAATTTGTAGTCACAAACAAATATCCAGCATATTTTTAAGCATCTGGGACTTAGCTTACATTTTATATTTAATCTTATTAAAAGAGGTGGTGTAGTCAAAGAGGCTAAATGTTCGGTCTAAATGATGTCTCACCTTTACTCCTTAACATAGAGATATAATTGATACATAAGGAGAATCAATCTGCTTTTTTATCTTTTACAGCAATTACAAAATAAAAGTATAAAATATTTCTTAGATGTCACTATATAATAGAATAGACAATTTTAACTAGTTGTATTATGTCTTCCTTTATGTTTCCTAAGGCAATTTCCAAAGTTCTTCCTAGGTAATTGAAGGGTCTATTGTTACCTACTTTTATCTATAGAGGGGTAAGTGTTGAGATAAAAAATAAAAAGAACTCAAGCCAAATGCATTGTGCCTCAAGAATTCTACAAATAGTAAGACCTTGTAAAATAACAGTTAGAGCCAATATTCCTTTTAGTACCCACTGAAAGAGTTATTTAAAAGCCA